ATTTTTCAGCCGAGTCATACCACCGCGTTTAGCAATCCTGGCTGAATTTTATGTGTCGTCCATTCCCACGTGCTCTGTTTGTCGCCGTTGATGGGGGTGCCTGAGCCGGCTTGAATGGTGAGCAAATGATTCGTCCGAAATATGGGGCACAAACTCTTCTTTCACTTCCTTCCGGAACGATGGACGAGCTTAAGAGGCGAAACACAAAGATGCTGTGTAAACTTGAGTGGCCAAAGAAACCTCAAAAACTGACCGGGTGTACCATTGTATGTCCTGGTCTTCCGGAGCCACTGCCAGACAGTCCCCTGGAATATCTTATTTTCAAACCAGTAGCACCGCCCGATGCTTCAGCTTTTCGAGTAGTGGATGCAATCCTCGGTAAGGGGCTTGACGCTAAAATCGGAAATAGAGCTAAAGGCAAATATCACTTTTGGCGAGTATAATCTTCCCGGGGTTCCACTGGGCTTCAAAGGATACTCGTCGTCTGGAAATGACTAGAACTCGCATTTCTAAAGGCACACTACCTCTTGGCTTCTTCGTCAAAATTTACACGTCTAGGCGGAGTTATCGATCGATAATCGCTTGCGGTTAGTGCTATTGGTTCAAAATTCTTCCCAAGGCCCGGCATCCACCTAGAACTTTACAGTAGAGATCGAATTAGACCATCGACCACATCGGATCAGCTCAAGAGTGTCCCCAAATAGCTTTTGAATTGAAACATGGCTCTCTACTGTGGAGTACAAGAACGATACAACTTTATCAATTATCAACGTGCAATGGCTATTCATCCTCTTCGCTTTCAGACGATTCAGATGGTGGAAGATCCATTGGTCGATTCCGTTCTTCTTCGTGCTCCCTAAAAAAATAAAATTATAGGCCGAACTCAGGACTCGACGAATATCTTAGTCTTGATAAATGAAAGCCACCTGTCGATCCGCTCGAGATATTCTTTTTGCTTCTCGATGACGTCTTCAGGCCCAGTGCACGACGCATAGATTTCCAACAGTTCGTTGTTCATTTCCAAGAAATGAGGCCCGTATCCGAATTTGCTCATCACAATCTTCGCGTCGTCTCGGAATCCGCAAATGTGCAGCCCGGCAGCCAGAGCTTCAGCGCAATTCAACTTGCACGGGCGACCGTAGTTGACAGGTTGGCGGCCACGAGATACGGCAAAAGACGGTGTTCGGGGGCCTTAACCTTGTGTAGAGGCGTTCTCTCAACTTCTTTCCAGCTGCAGTCGACGACGCCGAGACCATTTTGTTCGATGAAGTCGCGATCACGGGGCGAAAGGGTAGAAACCCCGGTTGGCGACAGCACTAGTCCGGCGAAGCGTGAGCCAAGACGTATTTCATCGACCAAGCCGATCCTGAAAAAACTTTTAAGCGAATTTTAAGACCGAAAAAGTTCGATAAAATAAATTAAAGGAACATATTTTACCGTGATAACTTCTTCCCAGAGCAGCGCTTCGGGTCGCATTGCTCAAAGTCGTACATGGCCAGCTTCACTGTCAATTCTTGCGCTGAACCGCAGCCCTCATCGCCAGATTCTTCCGAAGACTCAGCAGCTTCCTCGCTGGCACTCGGCCTTCGTTCTTCAAGCTCGGGTTCCCGCCGGTCGCTCCTTACGGGTCGTTTATCCTTGCGTTTAGTCGGACCAGCTTTACCGCGGGGCATCCTACACCAACAAAAAAAACAATATGATTCTTCCGTTTTCTCCGAATAAAATGTTCGTTATAAGCGCGCTTGAGTGCATGGACAACTTCGCAAACGATTTATTCGAGACCATCTGAACAAAGATAAATAGTGAAAAAATTCTTAGCGCAAAACGTATCAAAAACGTTGGTAGTAGATCACTCATCGGTCTTTTCCTTCTTAGCCTCTTCACGCTTCATGTAATCGCTGAATTTCTCGGTCCGGCTCTAGAAACAAAAGTTGCCTGAATCGTCAAGAGGTCTACCGTGGCATTTTTCCAGCGCAATGGTTCCTCTCCGCGCAGCGCGGAGAACAGCATGATTGGACCACGGCCTTTGACCTATAAGCGGCTTAGTCTAGTTTCAAAAGCTAAACACACCTGGCCCCGGTCACCGCGACCGCCGCTTCTGTGCGAACGCCAAGGTGAGCGTGAACGTGAGCTCTTAATAAAGAAATAACAAAAATTAAGTTTTAGTTACCCTTCGTCGTGAATCACGTCGGTCATCACGACGATCTCGCGAACGGCTTCGATTACGACGATCGCGGGAACGGCTGCGATCGCGATGGCGATCTCGCTAAAATATTTGATAGAATATCAGAAATAACAAAACCAACCCTCTCGCGAGAATTGGCGCGTTTCTTCTTTTTCTCCTTGCCATCCTTCTCATCATCTTTTGGCTTCCTTTCCGGTGTCTTGCTGTGGCGATAGAGAAAGTTCCTCTCCGCAGGAAAATCCGGAATATCCGAGGCCTTCATCGTTGATGCCGCGCCTTCCTTGCTAAAAGCAGTTTTATGACCACTAAAACACCCCAAAACAAAGAGGAATTCCTGATTACGTAAATACGACCATATCTAATTGAAAAGCTGCAACCTACTTTTCTTGCTCCACTTCCTCCTCACTCTCTGATGACGAATCTGATGTGGATGACCCAGATGAACTGTCGCTGTCGCTATCGCTGTCAGATGAGGAGCTATCCGATGATTCCGCCTTTTTCTTCTCTTTCTTAGCCGCCTTTTCACTTTTCTTGGCCTTCTCCTCTGGCTTGAATTCGCCGCAGTTTGTGATTAAAACCTAAAAAAAAATATATGTTTACAACGCAACCGGATGGCTTACATCGACCAGCGGTTTGCTTTTGTTGTCAACAGAAGCATTTTCGATCCTCGCGATAATTTTTGTCCAGTGATCAGCTAAAAAAAAGCTAATTAGAAAAGCAAAAAAGCCCTCACTCTGCCAAACACCACGTGTTTTTCGTCAAGATGCGGGCACGGAACACAGGTGATGAAGAACTGACGCCGTTCGAGTTCGGGCCCCTAATCAGGGGATGATTTCGTTTATAAACTCGAACTCACGCTGTTCGCCATCGAGGGGGTAAGGCTTATCATGCTTGATCCGGGTTTTCGTCTGGGAATGTTTTTCCGTAGATTGAGACCCGCCCGGTGCCGTCACCATTCATAATATCGCCGCCCTAGAGATATACAGTATTACAACATCAAGCCAGAGTCCAACCTGAATCATGAAATCCTTGATAACCCGATGGAAGAGCGTGTTCTTGTATGATAATACTTTGCCATCGATCTTGGTCCCGCGACAAAACTGAATAATAGATTAACAGAAAAGACTAATTACCTCGACAAAATTCAGAGCCGTTTTTGGCGTTATATCGGAATACAACCGAATTCCAGGCGAAACGGCCCTTCCTTCTCAATACGTATATCGAAGAAAGCAAACTTGTTTGGCATCTAAGCAATTATATTTCCGGGTCCAGTCAGGAGAAACAGGGCATCAAATCGCAGCTGGCGGTACACAAAAAATCAACGACAATAGTCAATACCCGTTTATCAGAACTGCACCCGCAAACTTGAACAAAATACAACGAAAATAAATTATTGTCCCGCGGCTTCAGCTTTTGTCGGTTTCAATCTAAACAAACAACCGATTGTTTTACTGCAAAATTAAGTTACCTCGAATTCAAGTTCTCGCTTCGCCGCTTCGAGGGTGTGCTTCAGCTGTTTCAACGCTTCATATTCCTGAAAAGACAATTAGAAGGCAAGGTAAAATCTCACGTTAGTCAGCTCCGCCAGTTTGTGCTTCAAGTGCTGTGATTTATCCCGGGGCCGATTCGGCTTATCGCCAGTCTCCTTCGGAGCCTCAGATTTGACGTTCGGCATCGAACTACAGCAGATGTTGCAAATCTGAGCGCATTTCATTCGAATAGCATAATCGATGGCAATCCATTTTTCAAACTAGTAAATGTCCCAAGATATTTATTCGAGTAAAACGCAGCGATCCAATAGTAAGCACATCCCAATGTACAATTTCTAAAATCACTAAATGGGGGATAATCAAAAACTTTACATGGAACACACGAACAATGAAAGGGAAATAATAGTTTAGCTTCTGCTTCGTCGGCGGCGGTCTCTACGGCTGCGATCCCGGGAGACGGAGCGGTTACGACGACGCTCGGTAGAACGACTTCGGTCGTGGCGGCGGCGGCTCGATCTATCGCTGGGGCTGGCAGCGCGCTTTTCTATAAAAATAAAATAATTTTAGGCGGGAACACGAAAGTGTAGTTCCCTAAGACCATTCGATTGATCAACGATGCCCAAAGAAGTAAAAATTATACCTTTGCGTCGATTATCCGGAGATCTGTCTCTGCGTCTACCTTCTGGAGACCTATCCTTGCGTCGGTCATCAGAAGACCTGTCTCGTCGTCGTTCATCTGGAGACCGGTCTCGCCGTCGAGGGGAGTTTCTCGGAGTGGTCGGCGGCGATATTGGCTCCTCCTTGACCTTGGTCGCATCGTATCCTATAAATAATCATCGGTTAGAAAATAACGCAGATACCATCAGGCCGCTTCGGCCCGATATCAGTAATTTGGTCGCGTCCGCGTTCTCGATGAAGTTGAGGGGATGCCGAGCGCTCGCTTGGTGTTGATGGCTCTTCTTTCACAGCTTCTCGGCGGGCTGAAAATTCGTTAGGAAAATAAAAAACTATACCTTTAGAGGATTCTCTGTCGCTGGCGGATGAATCGCTTTCACTGGAGGCTTCACGCTTGACGGAATGTTTCTTGGATTTCGATTTTTCCCTTACCTAAAAATTCATTTGGTTACAAGCAGGGTTCGATCATGTGGGCCAGGATTCCCATGACCACCTCCAGGTCGGCCGACCACCTCCAGTTTGGCCGCGAAGCGGCAAAAAAAAAATTTTCGATGCTTTTTGCACCTAGGGATCCGCAGGTTAATACCGCCCGCTGCTCAAATTCACCGTTTTTCCTCCCTGAAAATCTATCTAATAAACAATATTTTTGTGTAGTAGATCAAAATGTTGGCATAAAGCGTCTCGATCACATGTCAAAAGTTTAAAACCGTATCTTATTATTTTGACAACCTCCAGGCCCATTATCGACTGATTTTGGCCGAAAAGTGACATTTTTGGAATACCAAAAATTCCGTTTAAGGAAAATATTTTTGTATTGTATATCAAAATGTCGGCATTAACGATGGTTACAACATATAAAAAATTCAAAACGATTACTTATTATTTTGACAACCTCCAGGCACTTTATATGCTGATTTTGAGCAAAAAATGCGGTTTTTCGGTTTCGACAAAATCGCCCTATCGAAAATATTTTTGTATTGTAAGTCGAAATGTCGGCATTCAGAGCCTCTATAACATATCAAAAGTTCCTAACGACATCTTATTATTTTGACAACCTCCAGACCCTTTTCCCAGTTAACCCAACGCTGGATTTTCCGGGCCCCGGAAAAAAAGTAAACCTGGAGGTCATATCTAAAATCTTCCTGAGATCGATTTTCCTCAAACTAAAGGCTGCCATCCATAGCTAAGGATACGATCTTATTTGGGTGAAATTTTTAACCCGATCGGTTCAGTAGTTTTCGAGAAATCCCACTTCTAAAAAAAAAGTTATGGGAAAACGCATGGGAGGCCATTTTAAAGAAACGCTTTTAACTCAAAAACTTTATATTATCGTCCCAAATCTTTTTTACTCCTCTTATCTCCTAGATTCTTCCGCATCCATTGCCATCTTGCGTTTTTCCTTGCCGCGTCTATCAACCGAGATAACCTCATGGGAAGCATGGGTTTTTAATGGGAAAATCTACCTGGCTGCCAAAATACCTATTTCCACCCGGTCTTTGACCCCATTCTGCATTTTAAACTTTACAGAGGTCTTCCTGATCCATTCTCTAGCGATTCCGATCGATATTTTTCAAAAGCAAAAATTTGTCGCGGCGGGGATTCGAGCCAGGGACCCTTGACTCGTCAGTTTCTACTTACCCCCCGGACCCATTCTGCATTTTAAACCTTCCAGATGGCTTCCCGATGGATTCTCCCGTAATCCGGTTCTATATTTTCCAAAAAGCAAAAAAAAGGTTGCGGCGGGGGTTCGAACCCGGGATCCCTGACTCGTTGCCTTCTTCAATGATTTCGTACAACAGAGTCGATTACTGGCCGCGTAGCGGGCGCGAAATTTTTAGGCTTTTTTTTTGACCACCTCCAGGCTGGTTGACCACCTCCGGGCGGCCAACCAAATTTTTTCCCATGCTAATCGAACCCTG